TCATCCGTCCCCACCAATGCCACAACCAAATCTACACCCTTGAAACACTGTATCAAGCTGACAGGCTTTAAGACCTGTGAGAGGACTATAAATGTTCAGGGCTGCATGTTGACCACAGCGAGAAGACTCTTAAGTGATAATGGAAATATCAATAGTCAGTGTGGGAGCTGCGTTCCTGGTTGTACTGCTGTTCATGGTGCTGAATCGGATTTCTGGTCAGAAACACAAAGATGTTCAGGAAAATCATAAGGGAAGTAAGTCAAGTTGAGTATATATTCACGGTCTTTTTATAGTATATGGTTTTGATGGTTGCAATAAATAATTAAATTAAAAATATGAAGACATACAAAACTGAAACTGGTTGTTATTCTATATTGTTTGCACCTGTCCATTTTACTTTGTCTTTTCTAATTCTGTGTAGGAGATGATTCTAGATTTCTGGACCAGTTTCTTCCCTGCTCCTCATCTCTTTCACTCCCGGGCCCTCCCGGCCACTTTCTCATTGGTAATATGATGGAGCTGAAACACGATCATCTACCAATTCACCTCACAAATTTGGCACAGCGCTATGGAAGCATTTATCGCCTTAAATGCGGAACAACAAGTAATGATCCATTAATTGATAAAGGTTGACATTTTTAGTAAAGTTCAGATTGCATAACACCAAAACACTGCACTTATAATCGTGTTGTTTCAGCTATGGTAGTGCTGAACAGCAGCAAAGTCATAAGAGAAGCACTGGTGAAGAAATGGTGTGACTTTGCTGGGAGACCGATCTCATACACAGGTAAAGAGTTCAGTTCAGTGCACTGGGCTGCGTAGTTATCATATGATATCATGAGCCTGACTCACTTCTTTCAGGTGATATTGTGTCTGGGGGAGGTTGCAACATATCTTTAGGTGACTATACTGAAAAGTGGAGGGCACAACATCGCCTTGTCCATAGTTCTCTGCAGCGTTGCTGCAAAAAGTCTTTGCATGATGTCATTGAGAGACAAGCGCTGCATCTGTTAAAGGTACAGTTAAAAAAAGCTGGTAAACAAGATTTTAGAAGGAAGACTTTGCAAACCAAATGCTCAGGATAAAGCACGGGTTTGTTCACTGTTTAGGTTTTGATGGGCTATAAAGGCCGTGCTGTAGATCTGTCAGAGGATTTTACTGTGGCGGCCAGTAATGTCATCACCACTATGGCTTTCGGAATAGAAGTGAGTATTCTTTTCCCCCCTAATTCTGTTTGTACCTGTTTGTGTAAAAGGTGCTGTTCATGTCACCCTCTTAGAAAAGGTACATTCATAACGTTCTGTTAATCAGGAAGTGAAACTCTTGAGGATAAGCATGACAACATCTCGTTCCCTCCGTTTTTGGACAGTGTGTCTCATTACATTCTGTCTTGTAGTATGACAAGAGCTCATCGGAGCTGCAGGAGTTGCACAGATGTCTCAATGAGATTGTTGCTCTGTGGGGCTCCGCTTGGATATCAGCCCTGGACTCTTTCCCACTGCTTAGAGTAAATATTCACCATTTAGACTATTGGTCAAATAAATAAAACCAGTACCATGTTGTGAAAATAATTTCATGTCATTTGTTCTCTCAAAGAAATTACCCAATCCTGTTTTTGCCCATCTTCTGAAAGAGGTGGTCAGGAGAGACAAAATCATAGGAAGACATCTCAACAATTACAAGGTTAGTAATGTAAGATGATAAGAAAATAATGGTCTCGTGAATTTAAATCATTCAGATCACAAGACAAAGAAAATACTTGCTGTGATTTTGTGAAACCAAAAACAAAATCATACAAGTTATTTTAAAAAAATCCCAAAGAACTCTCTTTTAATCTACTTTTGCTATTTATTTGAGCAGTCACAGGACAAAAAAAATCAGGATGTCATCACAGGATCCCTCCTCCAGGGACTTGACAATCAGAACACAAAAGACAAAGCGGTGCGTACATACAGTGAATAGCAGGAGAGATAGTGGACTGCTTTCCTTAATAAATCACCTGAAGTCCCAATAATTTTACAAACTATGATGATAGAGCAAACGTAGTTCAAGATCACAATTAGAAGTGAAAACATGCAACACTGTAAAAGTATTAAATTACATGTCTTCATGTTCACAGCTGCTAACAGATATTCATGTTCACATGGCAACAGTGGACCTTCTTATCGGGGGAACAGAGACTACTGCGGCCTGGCTAAACTGGATGGTGGCCTTCCTCCTGCACAGACCAGAGGCACTGGGAATTTTTACCAAAAAAAAAAAGTTGTTTTAAAAAAAGTTAAAACAAAAAACATGTTTTTGTTTGTTATGCATCCTTTCTAATGTCATCTACAGGTGCAGGAGTTGGTATATGAGGAGCTGTGCACAGTATTGGAGGGCCGATACCCTAAATACAGCGACAGACACAGACTTCCTGTCCTCTGCTCTCTGATCAGTGAGGTGCTCAGGCTCAGGCCAGTCGCCCCTTTGGCAGTACCACACAGAGCCATCAGAGACAGCAGGTCAGCCTGCACATAATAAATAGCAGGAACTACACAACACACAATAAGCACTACTGACTAAGTACCTGTGTGTGTATGTGTGTGTGTGTGTGTGTAGATAGGGGTGTGTACACACATGTACCATGTTTACATATCTTTGTGGGGACCAAAAATTTGAAGTTTTCTATACTTGTGCGGACCAACAGCCCTTATGGGGACAAAATCCATGTCCCCACGGGTTTGAAGCCATTTTTGAGGATCAAAATGTGATTTTAGTATCAGGCACTCGTTCCGTTCATTTTTGATGGTTAGGGTCAGGGTAAGCGGCTAGTGAAAGCATTATGTCAATTAGATGTCTCCACAAAGATAAAACACAACTGTCTTTGTGTGTGCGTGTGTGTTTATGTGTGAGATATATGTGCTAGTACAGCCTGACTGAGGTCTCCAGATTTCCCACAGTCTCACCTTTCTCCAAAGGGAGTGGTTTTAATTAATGAAGTATGCTGGAATGTGATGCTGGAAGTATGAGGAATTGCAACATTTGGCACCGCTCTTCCTCCAAGATCAGACTTATGAAGAGACATCCACTTGAATTACCTTTCGAAAAATGTAATTTATTAAAACAACAAGCACCAGCATTGTTTATATATGTAATTGTGCAGAAAGAAGATGTGTAGACATTATTTAAATTACACAGGTATACCCGAAACCTGAAAAAACAACAACAAAAAAAACCAACACATACACATTTTCTGCTGTTGCCCTGTTATGTATGTGTGTTGCTTGATACTTGGCATTAAGACAAATATATGACTCCTCCTCATGTTTAGAATTGCAGGTTATTTCATCCCTAAGAACACAGTCATCATTCCTAATCTTTTTGGAGCACATCATGATCCTGAAGTTTGGCCTGACCCATACAGCTTCAAACCAGGTACTGTCCCAAACGCTGTGTGATTTGTGTTCATTTCACTTGGCTCAGAAGAGTTCAAATAAAGTATTGACACTCTCTCTTTCAGAGCGCTTTCTGAAAGAAGGAGGAGGAAGCGGAGGCGGCTCCACCCGTGACCTGATCCCTTTTGGAGGGGGGGCTCGGCTCTGCCTGGGAGAGTCTGTGGCCAAAATGGAGCTTTTTCTGTTCAGTGCCTACTTGCTGAGAGATTTTCAGTTCCTCCTGCCTGAGAGCGAGACCTCACTGCCTGATCTGAGAGGAGTTGCCAGTGTTGTGCTTAAAATCAAGTCCTATGAAGTTGTAGCACGTCCAAGACCTGTGACTAATCCCTGAGCTGCAGTGGGTGTATTGCTGACTTGTTGTTTGCGTTGGCCATGTATGTGCAAATTTATGTTTCACATATTTACATTTTCTCTTCTTATTCTTATTCATTCCTACACTTTATTATCAAAGTTATTTGTTCCACCAGCACTGAATAAAATGTCCAAACCAAAGTTTTTATTTCTTCA